CAAGAGTACAATGGTAATTGCATGTTTAGTTTTGTTTTTGTTTTTTTAATCCTCACCCGAGGATATCTTTCTATTTATCTTCAGATAGAGTGGGAGGGAGGGAGAGAGAGACAAACATTGATGTGAGCCAGATACACCAGCTGGTTGCCTCCTGCATGACTCTGACCAGGGCCAGGGACAAATCGCAACTGAGATACGTGCCCTTAACTGGAATCAAACCTGTGACTCTTTGTTCCGTGGGCCGACGCTCTAACCACTGAGCAACCAGCCAGAGTGCATGTATCATTTTACATATCCATCATCAGTGTAGGAGTGATACAGCATCTCTGTATCTTCACCAACATTTGGTGTTATCACCATTTTTATTTTAGTTCTGATAGATGTGTAGTGATATCTCATTGTGGTTTTAATTTGCATTTTCCTAATGGCTAATGATGTTGAGCATCTTTTCATGTGTATACTTCCCATCTGTGTATGTTTGGCAAAATGTATTTTGCCCATTTTCTAATTGGATTTTTTACTGTTGTAATTTTGTTAGTTCCTTATATAAGTATATATTTCAGATGCAAGGCCTTTGTTAGATGGTGGTTTATAAATAATTTCACCTGGCCTGTAGTTTTTTTTGTTTGTTTGTTTTCTTTTCTTTATTGATTTTGAGAGAGAGAGGAAGGGAGAGGGGACAGAGAGAGAAACATCGATGAGAGAGAATATCGACTGGCTGCCTTCTGCATGCCCCCCACTGGGGATCGGGCCCACAACTTGGGTATGTGGCCTGACCAGGAATCGAACTGGTGACCTCTTGGTGCATGGGTTAACGCTCAACCACTGAGCCACACCGGCCAGGCTGTAGTTTGTTTTTTCTTTCTCTTTACAGGGTCTTTTGCAAAACAAAAGTTTTGAATTTTTATAATATTGATCTTATCAACTTTTGCTTTTAGTGTCGAGTGTAAGAAAGAACTCTGCCGCCATGGCCCGTTTGGCTCAGCCTCTAGAGCATCGGCCTGCGGTCCAGAGAGACCTGGGTTCGGTTCCCGCTAAGAGCATGTACCTGGGTTGCAGTTTGTCCCCGGCCCAGGTTGGGTTGTGTGGGTGGCAGCCACTCGATGTGTCCCTTTCATGTCGATGTTTCTCTCTCTCTCTCTCTCTCTCTCTCTCTCCCTCCCTCCCTCCCTCCCACTCTATCTGAACAAAAAATGGAAAAAATGTCCTCGGGTGAGGATAAAAAAGAAAAAAATGCAAATACTAAAAAAAAAAGAAAGAAAGAACTCTGCCTAGCTATAGATTCCCAAATACTTTTTATGTTCTTTCTAAACATTTTGTAGTTTTTACATTCAAGTCTGTAATTTATTTTAAGTTAATTTAAAAAAATTTTTTTTTAATCCTCACCCAAGGATACGTTTTTATTGATTTTAGAGAGAGAGGAAGGGAGAGAGCAAGATGGGTAGAGATAGAAACATCAATAGGTTACCACCTATACATGCCCCAACAGACCAGGGATCAAACTTGCAACCTAGGTATGTGCCCTGACCAGGAATCGAACCCACAACTCTTTGGTGTATGAGACCATGCTCCAACCAATTGAGCCACCCAGCCAGGGCTGAAGTTAATTTTTATATAAGATGTGAGGTTTAGGAGGCAGAGGTTCATTTTCTTGCCTTTGGATGTCTAATTGCTCCAACATCATTTGTTCTTTTATTGAATTATTTTGCAACTTAGTAAAAAATCAGTTGTCTGTACTTGTGTGGGTCCATTTCTGGGTTCTCTGCTTTTTCCATTGATCTTTATGTCTATCCCTCTGCCCCTATCACACAGTGATTATTTTAGATACATAGTAGACCTTAATATTGAGTAGAATGATTCCTCCATTCACTTCTTCTTTGTCAAGATACTTTTAGTTATTCTAAGGTCTGTGCCTTTGTATATAAATTTTAGAATATGTTTGTTTCTATAAAAAAAAATCTGGGATTTTGATAGGTGTTGCATTAAACCTATAGATCATAAAGCTATATGGGGGAACTTGACACTTTTACTGTGAACATGGCGTGTCTCCATTTATTTAGGTTTTAATTTGGTTTCTTTCATCATCGTTTTATAATTCTAAACATAGAAACTGAACATGTTTTTGTTATTTCTTTTGGAGGGGGTTAGATGTGATTATAAATGGAATTTTGTTGTTAGTTTTTATTTTCAAATGTTTACTGTTAGTATGTAGAAATGCTATTTATTTTTGTGTGTTGATCTTGTAGCCTGTCTTGTATATTGAACACTTGGCGAACTCACACTGTTGGAGTTTGTAAATTCCTTGAGAATTTCAAGGTAGACTATTATATAATCTACAAATAGGGGTAGTTTTATTCCCTGTTTTCTAATCTGTATGCTCTTGCTTGCCTAATTGAAGTGGTTAGAACGTCCAATATTATGCTAAATAAGAGTGGTGAGAGAGAATATTCTTGCCTTGTTCCCAAAGTATTCAGTCTTTCATTACTAAGTGTATTGTTACCTACAAGTTTTGGGGTTTTTTTTACATGCTCTTTATCAAATTGAGGAAGTTCTTCTCTATTCCTAGTTTTTTGACAGTTTTTCTTTTTTAATCCTTACCCGAGGACATTTTTTCCATTTTTTGTTCAGTCACAGTGGGAGGGAAGGAGAGAGAGAGAAACATTGACACAAAAGGGACACACAGAGTGGTCACCACCCGCACAACCCAACCAGGGCCGGGGACAAACTGCAACCAAGGCACGTGCCCTTAGCGGGAACCGAACCCGGGTCTCTCTGGACCGCAGGCCGCAATCACTGAGCCAAACTGGCCAGGGGTTTTGAGAGTTTTTAACATTAATGGATTTATTATGGTGGAGTTTATCAAATTTTTTTCTGCATCAATTGACATAATTTTTTTATTTTTCTTAACTTATTCATATAGTAAGGATTTGTGAATATTGAACCAGTCTTGTATATCCACAATAAATCCTGTGGTGTACAATTATTTTTATATTTTTTTTAATTCAGTTTGATAGTATTTTGTTGAGCATTTTTGCACCCAAGTTCATAGGAAATGCTGGTCTGTAGTTTTTTTTTGTACTCGTCTGGTTTTGATATCAGGATAATACTCGGCTCATAAAATAAGTTAGGAAATGTTTCCTCCTCTTGTATTTTCTGAAAATGATTATAAATTGATGTTTGTTTTTTAATGTTAATTCTTTAAATCTTTGGTAGAATTATCCATTGAAATAATCTGGACCTGGAGGTTTTGGGGGGGTGGTGCTTGCTTAAGTATAAATTTAGTTACTATACTAGAACTATTTAGATTATCTATTTCGCCCTAGCCAGTTTGGCTCAGTGGTTAGAGCATTGGCCTGCGGACCAATAAGTCACAGGTTCGATCTCTATCAAGGACACTCCTGTCAAGGGCATGAACCTCGGTTGTGTTTCGTCCCTGGCCCTGGTCAGCCTCATGCAAAAGGCAACCAGTTGATGTGTCAATCTTTCTCTCTCTCTCCCTCCCTTTCTTCCTCCCTCCCTCCTTCCCTCCCTCCCTCTTTGCCTCTATCTCCCTCCCTTACACTCTATCTGAAGATAAATAGAAAAATATCCTCTGGTGAGGATTAAAAAAAATAGATTATCTGTTTCATTTTGGCTGAGTTGTTACAGTTTGTGGTTTTTGAAGAATTGGTCTAGGTTGTTTAATTAAATTGTTCTTAGTAGTATCTTCTTATCCTTTCATTGGCAACAGAGCTGTTGTAAAATCCTGTTTCAATCATGATAGAGTGATCTGTGTCTTTATGTGTGCCTGTCTTATTATAAGTTCATCAATTTTATTCATTTTTTGGAGGAGCCAGCTTTTTAATTAATTTTCTCTATTATTTTCCTGATTTATTGATTTCTAGTCTTTATTATTTCTTTAATTCTTACTTGCTTTGGGTTTAATTTGCACTTCTTTTTCTAGATTCTTAAGTCAGAATTTTTATTATGATTTTTTCCCTCTTTTCCAGTGTAAGCACTTAATGCTATGAAGTTTCCTCTCAATACTGCTTTAGCTATATCCCACATATTTTAATAAATTGTTTTTATTTCTATTTAGTCTTTTGTGTTTTTTTTCAAGACTTCATCTTTGATTCATGGATTATCTAGACTTATATTGCTTAGTATGTTGATGTTTAATATGATTCCATATGGTCAGAGAAGAACATGTATGATTTCAGTTTTTACATTTGTGAGGTTGGCTCTTTGACCCAGAATTTGGCTCATTTTAAAACACGTGAGTTTTTTCCAGCTGGTGTGACTCAGTGGATTGAATGTCATCTCATGGACTGAGAGATCCTGGTTTGAGATCCTGTGGGGGGCATGTAGGAGGCAGCTGATTGATGTTTCTCTCTCTTCCTCTCTCTAAAAAAAAATCAATAAAAACATATTAAAATAAATAAATAAAACACCTAAGTTTTAGTAACTCTAGAGTCCTGCCCGCTCTTTGTTACCTCAGTCTGCCTCAAGACCTCATCTATAGCTCACATTGCTTGTCTCTTGCAGGCAAAGAGGCCCTGAGCAGCCTTCCGTGGGCCCGACTTAGTGATAGAACTAGACCTTGAGCCCCTAGAGCCCTGCCCACCTTGACCAGGAACCTAGTTCATCCTCTTCACAGGGCCTTTTCCTTCCATGACCCTTTCCATGACACATGATGAACACACAATTGAGGGTGGGTTGGGCTGGGGTGGGTACAGAGGAGTAGCCAGTCCCGCCCTGTGCCCCTACACTCTCACCTCTTTCTGATGGGGTGGTAAATGAGGTGGGGCAACTCAGATGCCTAAGAAGCTTAGGCCCAAATCTCGGAGACAACCTCGGGCTGTTGCCCTCCTCACCCAGGCCCGCTGGGCGGCCCCTTCCCATCCTTGCAAACGATCAAAGCGTAACATCAAGAACTGTCAAGGCCACCGTAGCACCCAAAATACTGTATGCAGGGTTGCCAACCAGCGACAAGCAGTTGACACCTCATCTACTTCCTGCAGGACCTACAAGAACAGTGAGGAACTTCGGTCTCGTATTGTGTCTGGAATCATCACACCTATCCATGAGCACTGGGACAAAGCTAGTGTAAGCAGTCCCCACCGGGAGTTTCCCCCTGCCACTGCCAGAGAGGTGGACCCACTCCGGATTTACCCACAGCGCCCACACACTAGCCAGCAGCCTCCCTGGTGAGTACAGAGCCCCCAGTGGGCAGCCCGTGCTTCCAGCCATGATCACCCTGCCACTTGACCCCCTCACCAGCCCCTATGTGTCTTCAACACAATTGTCAGAGTTTTAATATATGGAGATAGAAGATGTAAGTAGACCACTGAGTTCTTGTGCTGCTGCTGATCACCCTAACCTCCCAGCCCCTTAAGGCTGCCTGCCCCCTTTCTAGAGTCCACAAAGAGGCTCTGAGGTCAGCCTAAAGATCAGTGCCAACAAGGCTTGTGTGCGGTACTCCTAGGTGGCTGCCCAGGCGATTCAGTTATTTATTCCAGAGCTCTTTGTATGGGCAGGGCCCTGGGCAGGCTTTTTGGGGAAATGCAAAGGTGCAGAAGTACTTTCCTGGAGAGGATGTAGTCCCAGTGTCTTGCCTGTTTCATTTTATTGTCCCCTGACCTCTTGACAACTTCAGAACTTTTCCAAAACACCATGGGGTTTGAGCAAATCATACCCAAAATCTTTGCAAATGATGATAATAGCATTCAGAGCTGGAGACTTCTGCTCTAAGGGAGGAGGGAAGGACCAGGGGGACCTTAGTCTCTGGCTAAGATAGCACTTCCCAAATTGGAGTCCACTGTGGGGTAGTAATAGTGGGATTGGCAGTGTTGTGGGAAGGATTCACTTTTGGGCCATAATGCACAGTAAGTGTTGGTTGTCATTGTTATTTTATTCTGTTTGGAAATTATATACCTTTGGTTAGTTTTCTTCTGTTTTTTAATGGGAAATTGATTTAATTATTACAGGAAGTAATTGGCAATCTTCAGAAATATTGGTTCTGTGGCAGAGTAGAGGGTAATAAAAAGTGGTTGAAAGGCTGAAACAGCTTGTCTGGTCTAACATTCTTATTTTACAGACGGGAACAGAGGTAAGATGACCTTCCTGAAGTCACAAGCCACTAATAAAGAGACTGAGCCAGGGCTGGGGCCTAGGTGTTCTCACACCCAGCACAATGCTCTGGCTGTGATGTAACCAGAACACTATGGCAAGATGTAAGAATAATGCCTGGACAGCAGTCAAATTGGAGGAGAGTTTTAGATCATAAGGAGATAATAATTCTCAGTTCTCTCAGATTTACTGCCCATTTCAAAATATTCTGTGAAATCTCCTTTACTGTCTCAAAATGGAATTCATAGACACTGTCACTTACTGAATGTACAGTTTCAAAAGGAATTGGTATAAAGTCCCAACTGTAATATAAATGAGAAATTAAGAGTAATTAATAATAAGACAATGTGTATTTCATTGTATAGATGCCTGAGCAAAGTTTCACTGGAAAACAGTCAGATATTGGCAGTTGTATGTGGAATTATCTTGAACTTGACAGCAACAAAAGCTGACACAGATGAGTTGTATCAGCAACTCGAGTATATAAACTGTTGCTGTTACCAATGTGACTTTTCTGAAGTGATGAATAGACCTTAGGAGAATGGCAAACAAAATAGTGGATGGACAGTGTTTCTTTTTTTTTTTTTTATCCTCACCCAAGGACATTTTTCCATTTTTTTGTTCAGATAGAGTGGGAGGGAGAGAGAGGAAGAGAGAGAAATATCGACGTGAAAGAGACACATCAAGTGGCTGCCACCCACACGACCAACCAAGGTACAAAGGGATCAAACTGCAACCGAGGTACGCACCCTTATCGGGAACCGAACCCAGGTGTCTCTGGACCGCCGAACCCGGGTCTCTCTGGACCGCAGGCCAATGCTCTAACCGCTGAGCCAAACCATCCAGGGCTGGACAGTGTTTCTTAATTACATTAGTTATATTCCTAGAAAAATTTGTATTAGAATAGTATGAAAAATACTTTGTGTTCATAAAATAATCTTGGACTCAGATCATTTAGGCTTTACATCTCTATTAATGTCTAATACTTTCAAAAGTTGTGTGGGATGCAGGGCATTCTTTGTTATGTGGAATTCTACTGTGAATTGTAGAGCAGGCAGCATCTGGTCTCTGCCTTTTAATGCCTGGAGGATTCTCCAGACACCGTGACAAGCCAAAAACACCCCCAGATTTTTCACAATGGCACCTGGAAGCTGTGCCATCCTGATCTTGTGCCATCCTAATAGACCTGGTGTCTAGAATTTTGATGGTAAAAAAAATTCTAGCCTTGGAGAAAGTGAAAGAATTAGAAAATCAACATGTTGCAAACTTCCACTGAAATCATATACCTGGGCACATGTCAATAGTTGCTAAAACTATTAGGTAGAAGGTTGATGGGGAACTTTATAACAAGTGGATCAGAGTGATAGCACTTGAAACCATAGATCAATCTTAACACTGAAAGTATTACAGCCAGACATTGTGTCTTTTATTAGTACATTCATAGCAACCTGAATCTAGATCAGTTTAAAAGAAGCATCAGGCATAGAAGAATGAGTTAAACAGACATGTGAGGATACATGTGTTCCAGCCAAACATGGAACATGAAACATTTTTATACAATAAATTGATTTGTTGTTGTTGTTTTTATCAAATAAATGAATGGCTTGAAGAGAAAAGGGAGAGAGAGGACTGCTAAATGAAAGTCATATCAACTAAATACAGTGTTGGACTTGGTTTGGATCTTGAGTCATACTAATTCTAAAAATCATTTTTGAAATATATGGAGAAATTTGAACATGGACCAGGTATTAGATAGCATGAGGAATTACTGCCATTTTGTTAAGCAAAATAATTAAATTTTGGTTATGTAAAAAAAAAAAGCCTTGCCCTGGCAGGTTTGGCTCAGCAGTTAGAGCGTCGGCCTGCGGACCAGAGAGACCCGGGTTCAGTTCCTGCTAAGGGCACATACCTCGGTTGCATTTTGTCCGCGGCCCTGGTTGGTCATGCAGGTGGCAGCCACTCAATGTGTCCCTTTCACTTCGATGTTTCTCTCTCTCTCTCTCTCTCTCCCTCCCACTCTATCTGAACAATGAAAAAATGTCCTCGAGTGAGGATAAGAAAAAAAAAAAAGCCTTGCCCAGGCCAATGTGGCTCAGTGATTAGAGTGTCAGCCCGGGCACCGAAGGGTCGAGGGTTAGATTCCCGGTCAAAGGCACATACCTGGGTTGCAGGTTCCATCCCCAGCTCCAGTCAGGGAACGTGCAGGAGGCAACCGATCATTGTCTTTCTCACATCATTGTTTCTCTCTCTCTTTCCCCCTCCCTTTCTTCCTTCTACTTTCTCTAAGAATCAATGGAAAAAATATCCTCATGTGAGGATTAACCAAAAAAAAAAAAAAGAAGTCTTTATCTACTAGAGATATATATTTTACACATATATGATGAGGTCTTTTTCTTTCATTTCATCCCCCCCAAAGAATCAGACATTGGAAAGTGAGTATAAATGAAATAAGAATGGTAGAATATTAATAATTATTGAAACTGAATGGAAGGATGCATGGGGTTCACAAATTATACTATTTGGTCTATTTGAAAAATTTTTTAATAATTATTTTTTTATTAATACCAGTCCTTCACAAACTCCTTCAAAAAATAGAAGAGGAAAGGACACTTCTGAACTCATTCTGTGAGGCCAGTATTACCCTGATACCAAACCAGTGACATCACAAGAAAACTATAAACTAGTATCCCTCATGAATATAGATGCAAAAATCCTCAACAAAATACTAGCAAAGCAAATTTAGCAACATATAAAAAGGATTATATACCATGATCAAATGACATTTATTCCAGAATTGGTTAGTTTAACATCTGGAAATAAATCGTTGTAATACACCATGTTAATAGAACGAAGGACAAAAACCACATGTTCATCTCAAATAGAGGAAAAGCATTTGCAAAACTCAACACCCTTTCATGGTAAAAACAGTCAGCAAGAGAAGGAAACTTTCTCAACCCAACAAAGAGCATCTGCAAAAAGCCCATAGCTAACATCCAACTTAATGGAAAGTGATCGAATGCTTTCCCCCTAAAATCAAGAACAAGCAAGGGTATCTGCTCTTGCTACTTTTATACCACATAATACTTGCTGTATAACAAGTACCAAGGCAATCACTCAAGAAATCAAAGGTATCCAGATTAGAAAGTAAAAAGTAAAACAATCTCTACTTGCTGGTGACGTGAGATCTTATATATAGAATATTCTAAGGAAATTAAAGTAAAACTTTTTAGAACTAATATACAAATTCAGCATTGTGACAGGATACAAAATCAATAAACAAAAATCACTTGTATTTCTATACATTAGCAGGGAACAGTTCCAGAAATGAAATTAAGGGCATGATCACATTTACAATAGCCCCCAAAAGAATAAAATACTTAAGAATAAATTTCACAAAGTAAGTGCAGGATTTGTATACTGAGAACTACAAAAGATTGGTGAAAGAAATTAAGGAAGATCTATCATCCTGTATTCATGGATAAAAAGACTTAACATTGCCCTGGCTGGTTTGGCTTAGTGGTTAGAGAGTGTCAGCCTGCAGACCAAAGGGTTGCAGGTTCAACCGGTCAAGGGCAGGTACTTGGGTTTCAGGTTCGATCCCTGGCCCTGGTCAGGGTCGTACGGGGAGGGAACCAACCAGTTGATGTATCTCTCTCACACTGATGTTTCTCTCTCTCTCTCTCTCTCTCTCTCTCTTTCTCTCTCTCTCTCTCTCTCTCTCTCTTTCTCTCTCCTCCTCCTCCTCCCTCCCTTCCACTCTATCTAAAAAAAAAAAAAAAAATCAATGGAAAAATATCATTGAGTGAAGATTAAAAAAATGATAATAATAAAGATATTTAAGGAAGAACTTAATATTGTCAATACTCCCCAAATTGATCTACATATTCAGTGTAATCCCAATCAAAATCCCATAGCGTTTTAGTTTGTTGGTAGGGTTTTATTTGTGTGTGTTTTTTTTTTAGAAATTAGCAAGCTGATTCTAAAATTTATATGGAAATGCAAGAGAACCAAATAACTAAAACAATTTTGAAAAAGAAAAAGAAAGAATGGAGGCCCTAGAGTTCTCAATTTCAAAACT